TNTTATATATATATATATATATATATATTATACATTAATTTATATTTATGTTAGTATTATATTTAATTATTTTTCAACTTGCAGTTGGTGTAATGGCGTTTCTGTTTCTTTTTCAATTAAATCTATATATAATATTTTGCAACATAAATATAAATTAATGGCGTACAATGCAAAAATATTTTTTGTTGGTGTCATTTGATGTTCAAAAAAAAATATATATATAATATTTTGTTTTGCAAATTTTCTAGTGTCATTTGAAGTTAAAAAAAAACAAATATTTATGTGTGATATTTTTTTCAACTTGCAGTTGATGTAATGGTGTTTCAATTCAATCTATATATAATATTTTCTGTTGCAAATTTATATTATACATTAATTTATACAAAAATATTTTTTTTTAAGCAGAATGCTTCAATGCTTGATTGCAGCTTAATTATTTGATTGCAACTTTGAATGGAATCAAATTTTTTTTTTTTTTTTTTTAAGTGAAACAGGAAATAGTTTGAAGTTTGAACATTTTTTTTTTCCGTTTTGTCCCGGTCCCGATTGATACCGATCCGTTTGGGACGGGGTGTCGTCCCGGACCGGTTCAAAAAACCGAGACAGGTACCGGGATAGGTCAAATCCCGGACCGTGCCCACCCCTATTTTTGTTAGAAAAGTATGACAGGTCAATTCATCTAACAGATAGACAGATTCATACGAGAGTTTATGATATAGTATATATGATGCATTTTCTAAAACAAATACTATATTTATAATCTCAAGTTTAACGTTGTCCCATTGGGGTACATAGTTGAATAAAAATGATGATCTTTCTCTTCTCAAAGCAACAATTAAATAACTTAAATAATAATCAAACCATATTAAAAACTGTCATGTTAGCTATGTATCTCTCTTTATTTTATTTTATTTTTTCAATTGTGCCTTATTATGAGGAAAACATTTCTTAATGAAGACAATACAAGATTTGTGATGTAATGAATATCTTGCTTAATTGCTTTTGCCACCACTGCAAAAGCCACATAAGATTAATTAACTTAATCCTTTCTTACAACATGGTGACAAAAAATGGAGCTTCTCAAATTTTGTATCTTCTTATCTTCTTGTGATCCCTTAGTGATAAGCATGTGGGAAAAAGGGGTATTGTTATTCCAAAATGATCAAAAGGAATAAAATACGTCAACTGACCAACTGGCATAAAAAAATGGAGAACATTTTCTTTTGAGTGTTGTCAATTAAGTTTATGTGAATATATTTAAAAAACTAGCTTCATGTCTAATTTCAATTATCTTTCCAAAGTATACACCTCATGTGTCCTAAAATTTAATATTAGCTGGGCTTAATTCTCTTGTTACTAATTAGTGAGAGAAATCTATAGTATAAAGTATTTTTATTTATGATATTACTACGGCTAATAATAATAATACTACTAATACTAATACTAATACTAATAATGGGGATTACTAGAAACATTTATGAGAGAGTAGAAAAAGAGTTGTTAAACAAAACGAGTCATTCGTAAACTTGGTTAGGCTCGGTACGACTCGATAAGTCTTGAAAAATAAGAGTCATTACATAATTTTCTAAACTGTAAGTATAATTCGACTCGTTAGTCATGCTCGAACTCGTTTATTGCCTAAGCTCGATAATGACTGGAGCCCGAATTCAAGTATTAAAGGCTCGAACTCAACTCGGCTCGTTTATACTTTGGCAGGATGGAAAAAGGCCATGCTTTACTACAAATTCCTCACTTTTTTTTTTCTTTTCCTTTTAAATTTGTTCTCCCTTTCTCCTTATTATTTTCTATCAAAGATTCAAAGGGGTAAATGTATTGCTTCTATCTTCTTCTTTTTTTTTTCCCCCCACTTTTCCCACAGCATATCTCACTTTTATCTGACAGAACTTTTTCAAGGTCAATGAGTCAATCTATGAAAACAGAATTAATTGTTGAAAAGGAAAACAACAAAGTTTGAGATTGGGCTTCATTTCCACAGTTTCAAAGTCATCTATTACAGAATTGGGCGGACACGAGCCCACCCACGAGCCCAATTACTCAAACATGAAACTATATTAGTAATTTAAAATGTATTTATATAAATAAATAATAAATTGATTTTTATATGCCTATATTGCATAAATATTATATATGTAATATAGATGTCAAATCAAGTATTACTTATCTAGTATAAAAAATGATCATGTCTTCTTAGTTGATGAGGAAATAAAGCACACTATATCAACCATAAATTCATAATTACAAAATGTAAGATTTCAAGCCACAAACATGTATAAACAGGCTTGGGAAATTATATTTTTAGAAAGCTATGCATTTAAATATGTTGTAAAAATTATATACCTCCTATTTAGAAATGAATAGTATTCCTAATCTATGTGTCAACTTTTGATGTTTCATAGTTTTATGTGTCTATTTCTTGTGTTTCGTAATCCTATGTGTCAAATTCTGGTGATTCTGGTGTTTCGTAATCCTATGAGTCAAATTGTAGTGCTTCATACTATTTCATGTAGATTTGAATTTTTATTCATACCTATTAGGTCCTTTAAAATTATAAAAAAACTTGATCAACTTAAATTATAAATATATTTTAAAACTTAATATTTTTTTTAATATGTTATCAATTTTTGATATATGATATACCAAAGCAATCATCTTTTAACGATCTCGATTTGATATCTTATAATTCATATATAAAATGTTGACGGTCGACCGCCAACGGTCTGTGGTTATGTTTTAATATGAAGTTTAATTGGGAGTTACAAATAATTAATACAAAGATGTTGGGAAAAACTCGTAATAACAAGTAGTAAAAGAAACTGAAAGGGAAAATGAAGACACTGATTTTGTCGATCTGTAAGTGAGATCGGCAAGGAATGGTTGTTCTTTCTTGTGTGTTTTAGAGGGGATGGCTAGCCATACTTATACACGAAAAATGCAAAGAAGCAATAAATGTTATAGGTTACCTAAGGGCGTAGGTTGTGTTGCGTGTCTGCATGCAAATCTTGACTTTTGATGATTAACGTATTGGACGGTCATTTTATGAGTAAGCTTTAATAGTACCACGTTCACAATGGAGAGATCGTCATCCTTCTAGAGGAAGATATAAGGTTGGATCGCCATTAATGGATCGATTGCTAAGTTGGACGATCGGCATGGCTTGTCGGTAGAGTATCTTGGATCGTTACTTCCCTTGGCTTATAGGCCCAAATAGGAGAAATTCAATGTCCATTTTTTCCGATCAGAATGGGCCGACTTCAGAATTCATAAGAATTTTTATGTGCAACATAAAATAAATTATATCCACATATTTATTAGTTGAATTTATATCAAGTCTGTTACATATAATGAGTTAGAAAAGCAATTATAAAATAAGGCCAGCTACTCTTACGTGTGATAATTGTCATTTTAAAGTTTTAAACAGAGAAAAAAAATGGGAAAATATTTAAAAATTTAAGTTATAACTTCTATATCATGTATAAAATTTTCAGTTAACACCCATGCAATAATACATGTTTTCTGTAGCACTATTAATATTTTATGACATATAGGAGAATTTGATTATATTTTTCAAATTTGTTAAATGATCCAACGGGCCTACCATCTGATCCAGGTCCAGATTTGAGTCAGCTTGGGTCATGCATACCGGCCCCAATGGACCATTTCAAACATAACAAAATGGACCCAACCATACCGCCATACCGGCCCAATGGATCAATTTCAACATAAAATGGCCATAAATTCAACAAACTTTCTCAATCTCTGTCTCATCAATCAAAGTTCCATCATTTTATACTAACAACTTCACTAAAACAAGGCCAATTGCATATTAAGATACTCTGTAGTAGCTTACCTATACTATCTCCATAAACAACATCAAAGGACACAAATTAGATCATCACAAAACAAACACTTAAAAAGCAAGTTAAACATGCGGAGAGACCAATCGGCTATATAATATTCCGGTTAATTGCCCAAAGCATTTTTAGTCAGCAAAACAAAACGGGTTTAGCACTTTAACCTCGAAAAATTTCATTCCAAGCATCTTCTTCCACAGAACATGTTCCTGCAAATTTGTCAAGTATAAGCTATAAAGGTCAATAATGGTGTATGGTTAAGTGAAAAGCTGATTGAAAAAAGAGCAAAAGGGAAAATCGATTGTATGGCTGCATTGAAACGGGATAATCAAATTTCGGTACATTATTATACTACAAATTTTACGTTCGTTTTTGTCCATTTTTTTTTTTAATCAGCACAAAAATATCCCTTTAATTGGCTGTGAATGAATATATGTAGTTCTTAGCAGAAAATAAGCTAATGAGCAAAGTATGAGTTGATTTACGAACCCCATACATCCTTTGCGTGGCTTTTTCTTCTCCCGTTGGTTTTGTGGGGGCTTTATAACTACCCTAATAGCAGCATCAAACACTGCTTTTACATTCTGCACAAGTCAAAAGTCAGTACAATAGTACATAGTTCTCAAAAAATTGATAAATGGAAACTTTACAAATACAAGGAAAAAAAAAAAAAGAAAAATCGGCTTGATTCGTATAAAAATCAGTGCACTGCAATCTTATCGTAAATTGTGGATGTTCACATGAATATAAGATTTTAGAAAGCATTATTTAGTAAGAGTTTCCTCGGTAATTTACAATCCCAAGAAAGGATAGCCCACATTTAATAGATAACAACGTTCCAACACAGAATGTGATAAGATAATGTGGTTAAATTTCTGTGAATATAAGTCATATCACAGGGGTCGAAGGCTAAAGGTTCGACATGCAAAGTTTTACTACAAATTGACGAGTTTGGTACTCAACTTGGTCAACTATTTAAATTGAATGAAATGAGCTTATACGTGTGAAAACACAAATGTCACAATAACATTGACTCATAAATTGCAAAATAAAATTGCACTCGACCTCAAACCTTAAAACAAAGACATGGCCACTCAAATCAACTATAAAACTCAATAAGATCTGAAGTTCCAAATCAAGTTCACACATCTGAATCAAAGCCAGATAATTTATGCCTTTAGTCATGTAGTAAAACACAAAATATGCATGAGGTAATATTGGGGAAAAAAAGTTGATTCTGTTTATAATTAATTTGTGTATACCTGTTGAGTCTTGGAGCTGCATTCAATGTAATATGATGCACCAATTTGTCTGCGAAGCTCCTCCCCCTGATTATAAATACGCCTAAGTATTTATTTAGAATTAATAAACAGAAATGGAAATTAAGCAGTAATTAAGAACACGCGTGGCACACCTGCATGGTGGAAACGGGAACTAATCCAGGATGATCAGCCAAGTAGCGCTTGTCCTCACGAAGATCTGTCGATTTTACCAAACATAATTCCTTTATTAGTTATATAAGACACACACACACACATATGCATATATATAAAATGCATATCACAATTCAAAACATTTGGTAATAAAAAAGAATTAATGTGGCACCCTTTTTGGATGCTTCAAATTTACATTGAAAACAATATCCCGGTTCGAGTGCATTTGATTTGCAGTGTAATATTCGGTTGATGGAAATTATGAGTGCATTTAATGTAATGATACGAAGTTAAATATTATGAGAATACAAAATCAAAGATCCCCATTCATGATATCAAGAAATTTGAGACTACAAAATGTAAGTATACCATCGTGGATTAAGATCATCAAACATTTGCATTGAACAATCACATTAAATAAACTAAGATTTTGCTTTAATATCAAAACAATGCACTAATGTATATGACAGTTAAGCTCATACGGCACACAAATACAAACAAGTGAACTGCAGTTTAAGTATTTCCCACCGTCTCATGGTGTAACTGTTTATAACTGTGGTTTCAAATAGAAATCGTCTCACGTAATTCTCATTTGGGGAAAAACTTGGAAGAGATTTATTTTCCAACAGAGCAAAGGGAGAACTAAAGCACCTTATGACTTGGTACATTAATGTGTCACTTCAAAGAAATGGCGATATTCATGTCCACATAAAAAATCAGTTTACATTTATTTACGCCGAGCAAACTTAAATATAATTTAACTTCAATTGCCATTGATCTTTCTGAATAAATAAGACGGAGCCCCACATATTTGATTTCAAAGACACGTGCCTTTCATGCAATCACTCGTAAAAAGTTTACGTAAAGTGGAAAACAATATTTAACCCGAAATTTTTATTAATAATTTACCTAGTTTGGTGCCAACGAGTACCAAAGGAATTCCAGGAGCAAAGTGCTGAAGTTCAGGGATCCACTGCCAAGAATAACATCAAATGAATGTAACTTTGCTCCATTCTATTAACTAAGACACTGTAATTAAAATCTTAAAGAACAAATATAAACGAGAAGTACTGCATAGCATATAAATGTTTCACCTTTTTAATTATGTTCTCATAGCTAGCTCGACTAACTAACGAAAATGCCAAAACAAAGACATCGGCTCCTCTGTAGCTCAAGGGCCTTAGCCTGTTGTAATCTTCCTGACCTATTTATATTTCACATATCAGGAAAACATTTTCTTAATTCTACACATTGTATGAGAGAAATAAAGGTCCATGCATTTTCACCAGGATTTACTTAAAAAGAAAAAAAANAACAGTGGCACACCTGCTGTGTCCCAAAGGCCTAAGTTAACTGTTGTTCCTTCAAGGACCACATTTGCACTGAAGTTGTCAAACACAGTTGGTATATAGTCCTAACAAAACAATAATTAATTATTCAGATGCCAAGCGTGTTTAAATTAACCGAGGACACAATAATAGAACAAATTTGCAGAAATTTGGAACTCTCAAGTGAAAAAAAATAACACAGATCAGAAATTTCAAGAATGATACCAAATGCTACAAAAAACCCCCAGAAAGCGAATGAAAGAAAGAAAAGATTTTTAGCCCATTAAGCAAAAGAAACAATCGAAGATAAACAGAGAGAAAATGCTGCAGAAAACAAGAAACCAAAAGGCAAACATAAGATGATAGGAAATCAGAACAAAAAAATCTACACATGACTAAACTGCATTTTTTCCCTTCAAACCACAGAGAGAACACAGATAGAGCAGATGTGTCTTTTAAACAAAAAAAATCAAGACTTTACTCGATTTTCCCATTCGAAAACACACACACACAAACTGAGGTGAAAATACTGACAGTGGGGAACTTGTTGCTGGTATAGCAGATAAGCATACAGGTCTTCCCAACAGCCCCATCGCCTACAGTCACGCACTTTATGAACCTCGATGCACTCGAAGCCATTGTTTTAGCCTTTTAGCATCAAATGTACAGGCAGACGCGCTATTCAAGACGAAAAAATTAAAAACAGACTAAACCCCAAAAGTGAGATTGCTAAAATAGAAAGCAAAACACTCATAAAAATGAGATCATTGTTTTATCACTTATATGGGCCTCTACTCTAGCGGTCAGATTGGTTGGGAAAGGCAGGATTTTTTATGGGCTTTTATGGTGAGTGTAAAGAGAGGGAAGGACAAGTGAGAATTGTAGGTCACATGATTCACTTGAAATTACTCTTTTTTTATGGCAAAGTTGTTGAAATCTTTATACTTTGGTCATTAAGTTTTAGCTTTGGAAAATTTGTACAGTAAATCTTGTTTGAAGGCCATCGATCCACCAGTGATTGCACTGGTCAAAACTTTAATGTATTGGTTAAATGATCATATTTTTCTCAATATGTATACATATTCAAATATTTATAATACAACATTTAAAGTATGACAATTTATAGTATAAATACTCATTTTCTGTAAAATAATAGTAATATTATAGTCTAAAGAAGTAATGTAAGACTTTTGTTTCCTCGGCAAATAGTGTTCTAATAGTCAATAGCCCGTGCGTGCCCGTGGCAAATCACAGAAAATAGATACCTGCATAGATTTTTTTATATAATTATTAAATATTAAGTAACCATTAAGTTTATGAAAATGGTTATTTTTTTTAGGTGGCTTCCACCTGATGTTTACTTTTTTATGTTATTTTAGATTGTCATCTGAGAGAGGGTCTCCAAGCAAGCAAGCTTGTTAAAAAAATAGTAGCTAGCCAACTTTTTACTTTTTAGATATTAAACCATGTGTTGTATCTCAAAACATGGAAAGATGAAATCTTTTAAATGGGTTTTAAACTCATGAGCTAAGAAAAATATAATAAAAAAATGTTGCAAGGACATATTCTTAAAAAGTTATCTAGAAGTTTAAAAAACATATTCTTCAATTTAAAAGATATAATATATATATATATATATATATATAAAGTTTTTTTTTAAAGAAAACTGTATTTTTTATTTTTTTGTTTCAAATGAACATATGAGAATGGATAGTGTTTTATTTATATGGACTGCTTCAAAATTTTAGATTTTGATACGTATGATAATGAATCAACACATAAGATTGCAAAGTGTAGATATACATGTATTAACCTAATTCACCATAATTTAACACATGATTACCAAGCAGCACATCGGATCACAAACCAACAAATAAGATTACAAAAAGTCCAATTTAATATGGACTAATCTCTATAATTTAACACGATTAGCATGCAACACATCGGATTACGAATCAAGTAATATTACAAAGTCCAATGTTGCATAGAATAATTTTAAGTTATATTGACAAATATGCTCGGACGATGTTAGGGAGCTCTCGGGCCACGTCAGGATGTGGTTGGGCGATGCCGATATTCGCCATATGAAATTATTTGAATGAGATTTTTCTATAAACTGAAATATAAAAACAGATGAAAAATGCATAAAATACTAAACTAACATAAGAACATAAACTAAGCTGAATCAACTGAATATATCCAAAAAATTATAAAACAAGCTAAAAAGAACTTGAAATAATACTATAAAACAAACAAAATTATAACAAAAACATTTAAAACAAACTATATATAATAAGAGAGAATTTAAATAATTAAAAAAAAAAAAACTGATTGATCAAAAGTGATTGAAAATTTGTATCCAAGCACACCCTTAATAACTCGGGCATCAAACCCATCGATCTTTCTTCCATTAGAAGTTACAAATGGGTTAAGCAAAAACTCCATGAATTAACTATATTTTGGACTATACAACATGGTTTCTTAAGCCGATATTAGTATTGTTAAACGAAACGAGCCACTCGTAAGCTCAATTCTTTAAATCTTGAGTTTGACTCGTCTCTTTTGATAAACGAGAAGAGCAAGGAACTATTTAGAATACCCACAATGTATTAAGTCAAATTTTACATATGTGACATATAAATGGACTTAAGTCACGAATGACATAGTAGCCAACTAATAAAAATGATCTACTATGTTTTCTCTATTAAAATAAAAATTAAAGTAGATATTAATGCTGACTGTTCAGATTTGTATTTGGATCCAAAATAGATTGAATAGTAAATTTTGTTTTTTTTTTAATTGTGTCATAAGCTAGACTATATCCACTTTTAATTACATTAAAAAATATTTTTATATAGACCAAGTTTATTTTCTACATGACATTTATTATTTTTTTTAAAAGAGACAAACCATACATACAAGTTCATATATAAATATCGCAAAAGAGATTTTTTTTTCTTTTTTTCTTTTGTATAATTTTATATGATAATGCTTTCGACCTCGAGTATGAGCCCGAGGCTCAGCTGGTTTACCCGGCACACAAATCTTTATAAACCCTCACGCACGACAGTCCCCCACACCTCCACCCGATTCAAACCGATGTGCAGCGAGACCAATCGGAAGCGCAAGCGCGGCCGCCGCCCCAAGACCCAGCCGTCCGCCACCGTGGTGCTCGACAACATAAACAACGACGCAGGCTCGCCGCTCGCGGCCGGCGCCTCCGGCAACGACGTTGTCTTCTCCGTCAACAACGTGGAGCTCATCCAGCCCGCCGCCACACCCTCTTCCCCCAACCACCGTGGCCACCGGCGCGGCCGTTCAAACAAAGAGATCCTGACGGAAAGTTCCATCGCCGCCGCTGCCAATGGCGTAACCCTACCTGTTACGGCCTCGACAGGCGTGCCTAATGGCGGTGTGTCCACCTCGCTGATTAATGAGGTGAGCGACGTAGCCAGAGTCGTGCCCGCCATGGATGCTGTGGTGAAGGTGTTCTGCGTCCATACCGAGCCCAACTTCTCGTTGCCGTGGCAGAGGAAACGCCAGTATAGCTCGAGCAGCAGTGGCTTTGTTATCAACGGGAGGAGGGTTTTGACGAATGCGCATTCTGTCGAGCACTTTACGCAGGTGAAGTTGAAGAAGAGGGGTTCTGATACCAAGTATGTAGCCACCGTGCTCTCAATTGGGACGGAATGCGACATTGGTGAGGCTCGATTTTGTCTTTTCCATTGAATCAAATCTGCCACTTTATTAGGGAATCTGAATGAAATGAATTCACATGTTAAGCTGTGTAGTAATTCTTTACTTTATGCTTATTTTTTGGAGAAGCAATACATAATCACATAAAAGCTTATTTGTCACTAATCAGCTCATTTCTAGTTTTGAGCCATTAGTTATTTTGAAGGGAAAAATGTTAAAATGTTATAGGAATTGTTCGCATGACCTCATGATTTAGTGTCATTGGATCGTAATCTTGCCACCAGGTTGAGCTGAGCATTAAAGGTACTTTGTCGTTAGCTGGGGGTTAGCTGGGTTCTTGGATTTGGAGTAACTGATTCTATATTCTCTAATATGGTGATTGTTGACCTGGTATTAGATAGAATGCATTATAATGCTTGTTGCTATTTCTTGGATAATCAAGCATAAAATGGTCTGTGTTGCTGCAATGAGATAAAATATTGTAGCATTTATGCAATCTAAATAAAGTATTTGAATAATTGAGTTACTCATATGGCAGCGTTTGTGAAGCTTTTGAACATTGATTTTGATTTGAGTATAGGAAACTTCATTTTTCATGTTGCAAATGCCAAGATATGGTTTCTGATTCTTATTTCCATCAAATGGCTGGTCAGATGTTGTGTTAATAAGTTGTCTTGCTACTGATAGCAAAAATTACCATAACAATTATCTCTATAATGTTTGAGAGTTGTGATTCATGATATCAATTCAATAGTCTGCTGGGAAAAGAAATTATAGTATCTTGTTTCAATTTAATACAATGGGTGATTCAAGTCTATCCGGTAAGTTTTAAAGAGGGCCCAGGAATCAAAAAATAAAAGTTTCCCATGGACATGCGAGCGGTGCTTGCACACAGACATGAAAACTCACCTGCATCAACTACTTTATTGGGAAGGACAAGCGGAAAATGCTCACAGCTTTCTGAAGCCTGTGAGACAGATGTTTAATAAGCGGTTCATAAAATCCGCAAGACAAGCATTAAAAGCCCCTTTGCAGAATCCATTCTCATACTTTCTTCTATATCAAATCTGTAAAACCTTTTTTTTTATTATTCAACATACATTCTGCAGCATCCTGCAAAATCCGATCAACTGAGTCGTAAATACAGAAGTCACCTTAAGAAAAAAAAAAAAATCAGAAAGTCATGAGGGCAGAGCTCAAGCGGTCCTCACCAATGTCCATGCTGATGATGTTGTGTACTCCGTAAGAATCATGGAACTTACTGATCTTAATTCTCCCTCATCCCCCGCTTCACCAACTTTTTCATCTTCCAAAGACCTTGTGTTCTCTGTGAGAAATATGGTGCTTATAGATATTAATTCTTCTTCTCCACCCCTCTCCTCACAAACCTGTGCAATTTCCAAGGGTGCTTTGTCCTCTGTCAGAACTGTGGAGCTTATCGACCTTAATGCTTCCTCATCCTCCTTCAACGAGAACCACCTGCAGCGAGAATATACCCCATGCAACATCTCCTCCGTAAGAAATGAGGAACCCACCCACCATAACTATTCTCCATCACCCCTCAGTGAAGAAGTCAGTGGGTCCCGCCTAAATCGGCAAACTGAAATCACCATTCTTTATGGAAAAACCCCCTGCAGCTTTCCTGCTAGAACCACCACCTTCGCTGAAGATGTAGTATTTCCCAAGAGAGGTGTGGGGCCCATCAAACCTAATTCTTTCCCATCCCCACGCCGAAATCTTCTAAAGATGAAGTGCGGCTGCCCCATATTTAGGCTTTCGGGTTTTCATTTTTCCAATATTACCGTCCCCAAGACCACCAATTTCGTACCACCGATTAACACCAGCGCCAGTGATGTGTTCCCAGTGAGGAATGTGGGGCACATGAACCCTCAATCTTCTGCAACCTCCTTCCACCATAGATTTCCTTTGGACCCCAGCAAAACCTCCAGATCTGATCCTGGAACTTTATCCCTAGCCATTTGCAGACTGGCAACCCTCGTGTGCTGCTCAGTGCGGAGAGCAGGATGGGCCCTGTGCTGCTTAATGCTGTAAATGAGGGTGAGGTGACTGGAATCGTTTCGAAGATGGCTTCTGTGGTGACGGTCTATTGTGTCCATAGCGAGCCGAATTACTCTCTGCCATGGCAGAGAAAGAAGCAGCTGTATTCAGACAGCAGTGGGTTCGTGATTTGGGGCAGGAGGGTCTTGACTGGTGCACGCTGTGTCTGGAATTACACACATGTTAAGTTGAGGAAGGGTGATTCCCACTCTAAATATGTGGCGAATGTGCTTGCTTTCGACACTCAGTGTGACATTGGTGAGGGACTTGAATTGGTTGATTGGGTTATTTCGAACTGATATCTTTCTTACGGTTTAATATCTGAATCAGATGATTCTTGCATATCATGGTTCGTCGGAAGTTTAGTTCTATGTATTTTCCTTTGTGCTTTTAATGAGGAGTTAGAACTATTTGCTACTTTTCTAGGCGCTTTAGGTAGAGATATTACTGATTTCGACTGCCTATTGTTTGCTTGGTCTTATGGCTAACCAGAACTCAGTACAGAAGCAATTACTAAAAGATTGTAATAGAAATGATTACTGTATTTGGATTGTGGCAATAATATAATTCCTGCTAAAGGTTTTGGAATTTTTTTGAATGGCAATTGAATTAGCGGTGGATAGGAGCGCTTGGAGGCTCGCTATCAACGTGCCAGAACCGTGACTTTTGCTCCTTTCTCTCTCTCTCTCTCGTTTTTTTTTTTTTTTTTTCGATCTCTT